GCGACTTCATGTTTCTGTTTATAAATGCGCTTCTTAGCTGACAAACAAGAGCTGAAACACGTTGTTTTACGAGTATTATTCTCATGTCATGTTGTGTTTTCATATATTTATATTTTAAAGACTTTCTTGTCTGTGAAAAGTTCATGAACTCTGCATCAACCGAGGCATTCCTTAAATTTGAAGCAAATAAGCGGTAGTCTAACGCTATTGGTTAGTTCTGGTCAGCGCTCAGTTTCCTATTGAATGGAGCTCTGCGGGGCAGGGGGCGTGCTTATCAAAAAAAAAAAAGACATATTGCGTGCATTTTATCACAGTACATGATGAGATAATCACTTTTACGGATTTCTGAAAAATCATACATCATTTCTGAAAGGAGGAAAACTCCGGAAAGCAGCTTTAACTCTCTTCTTTGTTCTTGTTAATTCCTGGTTATACAGTCCAACAGTCCAACAACACTTCCAGTCACCATCCCTTAAATAAAAAGTGCAATTTACCAAAGATATGCTGTCATCTTCCCCAACAGCTCTTGATTACCATTTAATAATATTAATAATAACATCAGTGGTACCTTGTTCAACACTTCACGATTAGTCTGGGTTCAGGACACTGGTTGTGATACAGGTCAGAGGAGATTATTGGTGAAGAGTTTGAGTCTGAACGTCTGGAGTCACGCGGTGAAGAATCCAAAAACAGTTCTTGACAGAGTCTGGCCGTGGTCCTCGGGGGAGTAGACGGTGAAACCGATGGTTCGTGGGTCGTTGAAGATTTCATAATCATTTCCTCCCTGGAAAGAGAGAGAGACAGCTAAATGATGAAGCTTGATGCAAACAATCATTTTTGTTATCTGTAACCAAGATGCACATCTCCTTACATTCTGATGGTCTTTATTAGAGAAATGAAGGCGTAGAAGCTGTTTTGGTCAAATCATGAAAATAATGTTAGTATGATCTGATCTAAGTGCTCCTGCAGAAACACAGAAGCAGGTCAGTGGTAGAAAACCACTTATAGGTCAAACAATCTTAAAATCTGTCTTTGACCCAGAAAATGACTTTTTGAGATGTTCACTAAAACCCACCCAGTGGTTCATTAAAGTATTTTGCCATTAGTTAAGTTTGACTCTAAGAAAGGATGCCAAAAGTTTTCCGTAAGTGTCTCCTGATCAGTTAAACTCAGAGTGCTATGGAGCGGTGACAACAACCCAATCCTTACAAATGGGTAATGAGGGACCTGTCTCAGCACAGAAACCGTGATCATGCTGGTTTGTTCCCTTCCTGCTGGAATGAACATAAAACTGTCTCAAATGTGGGCGACGGTGGCACAGGAGTAAAGTGCTCTCCCCCGTAATCGGAAGGTTGCAGGTTCGAGCCCCGCTCAGTCTGTCGCCGTCGTTGTGTTCTTGAGCAAGACACTTAAGCCACGTTGCCTGCTGGTGGTGGTCGGAGGGACCGGTGGCGCCAGTGCTCGGCAGCCTCGCCTCTGTCAGTGCGCCCCAGGGCAGCTGTGGCTACATCGTAGCTCATCCCCACCAGTGTGTGAATGGGTGACTGACTGATGGTGTTGTAAAGCGCCTTGGGGGTTCCAGGACTCTAGAAGGCGCTATATAAAATACAGGCCAGTTACCATTTACCAAATATCAAAGAATTCTAACTGAATTCATACTGCATATACCAGGTGTGTTCAAAGTGTGGCCCGGGGACCATTTGACGCCCTTGGGGTGATTTTGTGTGGCCCTCAGAATTGTGGAATTAAATCTCTCCAGGAGGCTGTTGATTTAAATTCATATATTTTAATATTTTATGTTCAAATTTTTACTAATATATGTGTTTAAGGTCTTTTTTGAGCAGAACCAATGAAAAATATAAAATAATGTTTGCATTCTTAAAAAAAATTAATTAATTTTTGTGGCCCGTGAGGAGTTTTAACTTTTGGCCCTTGTCTTGAAAAGTTTGGACATCCCTGGCATATACTAATAAAAAACTTTTGAGTAAAGGTAAATTTTTTGTTGCAACAAAAAATAGGATTTTCTTCACCATATAATACTTATTTTGTTAAATATGATCATTCACTCAAGAGTTTAACATGCAGGCTGAACATGAAAAAAGTCTTCTACCCCTAATTCCTGCTTTAGCCGCCAATAGAAAATAGATGGTGAAATGTCCGTGTCAGAAAAAGCCATACAGATTTTTGCATCCAGGAGAGAGTAGAGCACGTCTCAGCTAGCAGAAGCTAACCATTAGCATTAGCAATTCCACAGTATGGCAGAACTCCTTGAGGCTTGTGTTATTTGAGGAAATAAAACATCAAGATTGCAGAGAAAATGGAGGCAATGAAAGAGTCATGTTGCCGTTAGCCAATCAGAGGCTAGGTATCTAAATATCATGAATATTAATGAGCAAGACTCATAATCCTGCAGTTTTCTGACCCAAACTCCTCTAAAAACTTTACTTTTTGAAACAAGAGCGCCAGAGCTGTTTTTTTTACACACACAGAACGACTCATAAGGCATTCCTTTATACTAGAGACCACAGAAAATGTAATGAAATAGCAGGTGTATGCATCAGCTGACAAAGAATATACAACAAAATCAGATAATTTGAGAGTCTCTCTTATATTATAATATTATTATTATATTAATTATTATATTATATTGGTCGGAGGGGACTGGTGGCGCCAGTGCTCGGCAGCCTCGCCTCTGTCAGAGCGCCCCAGGGCAGCTGTGGCTACATTGTAGCTCATCCCCACCAGTGTGTGAATGTGTGTGTGAATGGGTGAATGACTGATTGTGTTGTAAAGCGCCTTGGGGGGTTCCATGACTCTAGAAGGCCCTATATCAAATACAGGCCATTTACCATTATTATTATTATTATTATTATTATTATTATTATTATTATTATTATTATTATTATTAATAATAATATAAATATATTATTATTATTATTTGTTTGATCTGGACCTAAAGAGAATATCATAGATGATTCACGGAGATGTTCAACCATAAACTGATGTGTTCATGATTCTAACTTCAACGTACATCTGAGGTCTCATTTCCAAAGAAGTAGATGGCATCTAGGCCTTCGTTCTCCAGCAGGTCTAAGCAAAGCCTCTTGTCCCAGCCTTCAGGAAATACATCAAAACTGATCAGACCACCTGAAATTAGACAGAAAACCACAATTACCATGGCTTTAATTAAAATCACTGTGGAGTCTCACAGAGAGGAAGAATTCCTGGTTTTAGCTGGTAGTGCGAGAACCTGATGTGTGATCCTTCTCCGTGGTGCAGTTTTTGTCCTAAGAATATTTTGTATAATCATGCTGTGGTACGTGGAGCTATAGCAGCAGAAAACACAACGCTGTTTGGTTTTCTAACCTAGATTCCCTCAGCCAATCAGAAGAGCGTTCCTCTCACACACCCTCTTCGCGGCTCTGTCACAAACCAGTTTAGTAATAAAAACACCCCACAGCGTGCCTTGCTCAACGCTGGGCGGAGATGAAAACCAGTTTGTCTCATCAGACTTTACTCATGACCGGTAAACAAGCTGATACGATCTTACAAAGCAGCAGAAAATGTTTTAATGTAAAAACCTGACAGATAAAAAAAAGCCTTACAGGATATCTGATAAGGTCGATTATAAACCCACACACTCACATTCTGTTCTCTTGGTGCAGATCGGGTTTATGTAAAACCTCCTGCAGAGACTCACCCCATCAGATGACCAAAAACACCCTGCCTTGTTTTAGATAAACTCCTAAAGGACAAATAAATAAATCTCCTGCTCTGCACCTTCTCTCAACCCACCGACCCGTTTCCACGGCATCCACACAGTACGCACTCTGCAGCGCAGCTGATTTATGTTTGCACTTATGAGGAACCTTGTTTTGAGCCTTCACGCGCCAGCAGCAGCAGCAGCAGCTCCGAAGCTGCAGAACACGTAAGCAAACATCCATTAACCTTCTGCTGATCTGAGTGAGGAGGGCAAGAAGGAGCGGGTGGATAATGTTTAACAGGAAACTCCGACGTTCGGTGAAAACATCACGGGGGAGAGGACTGATGCACAATGCTGCTGTAAGCCTCCTTTGCAGTGTCGCAACTCAGCGACTTTGTCGCTGTTCCTAACGACTTTTTGACCCCCCTCAACGACTTTTTTCCCCCCAAAAAGCGCTTAGCGACAAACCTAGCGACATTTCTCAGGACGCGTTGCTACTTTCTGTAGAACTTTCTTGTAGATATTCCCCACAGATTAGCAACAAAGACACCATTTGCACTCTGACCCGTTCTTCCTGGAGTAAGGAAAGAGAACGATAATCTGCACATGTGCACGAGGACTGACCAATCATAAACCGTTTTTGGCCGGGCCGATTCGCTGAAGACAAAGGTACAGCTGCAGAGCTGGAGACCGCTGACGTCTGCTGCTGCTGAAGGCTCACGCTTCTACTAGAGACGGCGCAGGCGTCAACCTGCCATCTCTGGTTCTGCAGCCGTCAGACACTTTGGCTTTTCCTGCATTTGGCAAATAAAGTCAACGGGAGTTTCAACTACCGTCCCGTTTACACACGCAGCTCTGTGGCTCGTCTGAATTTCCTTCAGTGACACAGGGATGGTTATACCATGAGACACCCGCTCCCTTTTGCTCGGTGCGCCGTTATTATCACGATGGAGAGAATACACAACAGAGAAGTAGAGAAACTAGGAGGTGTAAAAAAACAGCTTTTTAGGAAAATGTCTGAGAATGAGGAGAGCAGGAGGTCTGAGTTATATCCTACAACAGAACTGTTTGGATCACCACACCATATCTGTCTTAATGTCACTTTATTGATACTTTTGGAATTTATTGTACATATCAAAGCAATTTGGGCCATTTTAATCATAATAATTAATAACTAACACATAACATAGTTTTTATTTTCCTCCCTTTTAGTTCTCTCTCTCTCTCTCTCTCTCTCTCTCTCTCTCTCTCTCTCTCTCTCTCTCTCTCTCTCTCTCTCTCTCTCTCTCTCTCTCTC